CTAATACTGGTGAACCTTTCTACGTGATTTTGATTGTCTTCTTGAACTGCAGGGGGATTTATTGGAATAAATATTGGGACTGACATCTCAAATCTACCATCTGCTACTGATATTGTTGCAATCCTCAAAGCTCGTCAAATAACTAACGTACGCCTTTTTGATGCTGATGCCCACTTGCTCAATGCTCTCTCAAACACTGGCATTGAAGTCATGGTTAGCGTTACAAATGAGGAAGTCTTGGGTATCGGAGAATCCCCTTCAGCAGCTGCAGCCTGGATTAATAAAAACGTTGCAGCGTATGTCCCCTCAACCAATATTACATCGATTTCTGTAGGCAGCGAAGTTCTCAATTCAATCCCAAATGCTGCACCAATTTTAGTCCCCGCAATGAATTACCTCCATAAAGCCTTAGTTTCTTCAGATCTAAACCATCGAGTTAAAGTTTCGACTCCAATGTCAATGGGAATAATTCCGAGGCCTTTTCCCCCTTCTACTGCCTCTTTTAATACAACATGGAACTCTACAATTTTTCAGATTCTTCAGTTCATTCAAAACACAAATTCGTTTTACATGTTAAATGCTTATCCATATTATGAATATGTTAAGAGCAACGGCATCTTTCCAATGGATTATGCTCTTTTTCGACCACTCTCTTCAGTCAAACAAATTGTTGATCCAAACACCCTTTTTTGCTATAACAGTATGTTTGAGGCTTTGGTCGATGCTACCTACAGTGCTATCAAAGCTCTTAACTTCACTGGAATCCCTATTGTCGTGACTGAAACTGGGTGGCCATGGTTTGGTGGTGTTAACGAACCCGATGCTACCTTAGAAAATGCTAAGACATTTAACGAAAATTTGATTCAACGTGTTTTCAATGATTCCGGTCCACCTAGTCAGCCCACCATTCCTGTGAATACATACATTTATGAGCTGTTCAATGAAGACAAGAGACCGGGCCCTGTCTCCGAAAAAAACTGGGGCGTCTTGTTTGCTAATGGAACTGCTGTATATCCTCTTAGTTTGAGTAATTCAGATCGTGTCAATGCAGATTCTTCAACAGTGTTTTGTATAGCGAAACCAGGTGCAGATGAAAATAAGCTGCAGAATGGACTTGACTGGGCTTGCGGACCAGGCCAGGCGAATTGTAAAGCAATTCAACAAGGGCAGCCTTGTTATTTCCCAGATACTTTGCAAAGTCATGCATCTTATGCTTACAATGATTATTATCAGAAAATGCATAGCTCTGGTGGAACGTGCGACTTTGATGGGACAGCAACCACAACAACAAATGATCCTAGTAAGTTTATGATACTTTGTCGTTAAGGATATATTTGATATACAATATTAGATAGGATTAAAGAGTAGAACGGATAAGATTATAATTTCTTTTCCTTTCTTTATATTGTCAAGTATTATGCAATCTAATTTACTAGACATACCGACAAGTGAATAGATGGTTCGTAGAGCTAGATAAGGCTTGACAATATTTAGTAACAGTAAGATTCTAAAATCTCGCCCCTCATGGGGTGGTCGAGTTGGTGGAGTAGGTGAGGGCGTAAGTCTTTGGTCAATAGTTCGATTTCTCCTACTAACACTTTCTCGGTCGAGTTTGTCGCACTGGACTTGCCTAATGCGGTTTATTTGGTTGACGTGGTTTGCAGGCTATTGCGTCAGTTTGAAAGTTTACTCAGTACGCACCCGAAAGGTAGCGACTGCGGGTTCCCCCGTCACAAAAAAAAAAAAAAAGATTCTAAAATCTTCTTTATAATACTATCCCGTCTCATCGAGTACTTCTCATCCAACGTGATGCAAAATATTAATCTTTCATTTATTTTGTTTGGTATGAAATGTACTCGATAGCAACTTAGATCCCGGTTTCAAAGGAAATGAACTTTTGCTTCCACATTAGTGAACACAACTCATGGGTTTCTCAATGGTAGGTTGCGAAATAATTTGCACAGACATTAGCATATTTACAACATATCCGAGGGAAGGTAGATTGGATAGTACTTTGACAATAATAAGAAAGAATAAGAAGTTACAACTTTGTACTAAATACGTCCTTATTATTCACATCAATTTTTTCAATGCATGTCAAAAGTTGTACAATCATACCTTTAATTCTTGCTTGCTTCTTATTATTCATGAATTTATCGTTGCATTCAGTTTTTTTTTCGCTTAGCTAGCAACTAGTGCCTTCTCTTGTTTATTTAATAATAATATTGCCCACTTTTTGCTACTATCTTCATCTAATTATGTGCATACACTCTATGATGTCATTACGTAGGACAG